AATCAAAATCCTGAGGGCATCCCGTTAGATCGAGGTGCTGGAGGCACCCTCTCGAGCCAAAACAAAGTTACCCAACGAAGGAGATCACGAATGCTTGCTGGTCAAACATTAGCGGCTAACCCCTATGGTCCTGAGTGCAGGATGTTAAGAAAGCAAGGCTGTACAGCAAGGCTGGATCGCCTGTCAATGGCCAGCCTTGGCACCAAGTTCGGGTACGTCATCTCGGAAATAATGGAGACTTTGGGGTCTGCCCAATATTTCTGATTTTCTCCCAGCCCTGGCACCAAGCCGGTGAGAAAAGAGAGCAGATGGTGCACTTGATAGAAGCCTCGGCAAAAGCTATTTTCTGGGACAGCATCGCATTCTTCAGAGCAACTCCAGCAGATGGCTTTCCATTCTGACAATAGTTCTCAAGGTCAAGTTTCCACAGTGCCCTTTGGTCATACACTGTCAGCGCCGGTGACAAACCATAGCGAATGTTGAGCTTTTGGAGATAAAAAATAATAAAAATGAAGAGCAATAAGGGGCCACTGACGTACTCAGAACCTAGAATGATCGTACAATGTAAAGGAACCAAAACAGTGAAGAAAGTTCACAGATTCCTTTCTGGATCTACGCTGTTGGAGGATGGTTGGTGAGAAACCGACCATAAATAGGAGATGAGTAGGTCGAAGGGAGGTTCATGGTGAATTTTCAGCATCAACGGTGGGCGACTGTAGCGGCATGCAGAGGCGACAGTGTTGGAGCTTCGTTGATTTCTGGAAGAACCGATTGGTGTATATTTGTGGGAATGAAGGTTGTTGATGGGAATTTTACAGACCAGAAACGACAGCCTACTCAGTAGCAGCAGAATTTTCATGCGACTGGAGCTGCACCAAACATGGGATTGCCTCGATTTGAGCAGTCATATGCTCAAGGCACAGGTCCTGCCTGGAATGGTCAATTGGTTCTACAACAGCAGCCTTCTTCACCTGTCTATGGTGCTCAGAGAAGTGGCTTGCTACCACCACCACTCTGGGAAGTACAGGCGCCAGACTCTAGCCCAGTTGCGGGTGCTCAATATCCTCAATCAATGGTTACTCAAGTTAGTGTAACACATGGCCAACCTCAAGGACCTCAACATATGAGAAGTGATCAGATGGTGGGTATGTACATTCAGCCAATCACAACCAGTCATTTGTCAGCAATTAATAACAAGGCTGTTCAGGGAAACCGGTTTGCTGGTTTTCATCCTCAATCAGTTCTGGGAGCACAGTATATGGACATACTTTCACAGCAAATGGCTTCTATGTATCCGCAACAAATGTATGGCAACCAAATGGGAGTATATGGTTATGTTCAGCAACACTTCAAGCCATCATTTCCTTCGTGGAAAATAGGGGAGATCGTGTCAAATTGGTGAAGGCTATGGATAATCTAGTGGAGCCACGTCGAATTCCTCAAGGTAAGATAATCTTTTTTTGGTATTTTATTTATTTACTTTTTTCTGTGTGTTAGTTATTTTGAGGAGTATTATTTTTATTTTTTTTTTATTTTTTGCAAAAAAATAAAATTTCAAAAAAAAAAGATTTTTGAGGAAAAGTTGAAAGTATCAATTTTTCTTGGGAATCAAAATTTTCGAAAAATATTTTTAGGGAAAAGTTGAAAGTATCAATTTTCCTTAGAAATAAATTTTCAAAAATGAATTTTTAAGGAAAAGTTGAAAGTATTAATTTTCCTTGGAAATCAATGTTTCAAAAAAAAATATTTTTGAGGAAAAGTTGAAAGTATCAATTTTTCTTAAAAATAAATTTTCAAAAAAAATATTTTTGAGGAAAAGTTGAAAGTATCAATTTTCCTTAAAAATAAATTTTCAAAAAATATTTTCGGGGAAAAGTTGAAAGTATCAATTTTCCCTACGCAAGAGCAATCATTCTTTCCTTCCTTTCTATTTTGATTTTGATTTTGATTCTTCTTTAACTAATCCGACAACGGAGCCTCTGCAAGTGAAACAGTAGTTTTTCTTGCATACTCTTGAGGTGAGGGAATTTTCTCAATTTTCTGCTAAAAGTATTAGAGTCAATTGAGAAAAATTTTCAATAATTAATTACTTGGTAAAATTTTGAGGCTTTCAGATAACATAAATTTAAGCTGGTACCATCTTTTGATGGGCGTTGTGAGGGTGCTATAACCTTCCTCACACGTAACCGAACTCCCAAACCCTGTTCTGGTTTGTAGACCTGAACCTATTCTTTTAGGGAACCTTAAACTTAGGTGTTCCCTGAAAGGACAGATTCTTTAGGTGGTCAATCGCACCTAGACAAAAAAGATTGATGGCGACTCCCTAAAAGTCAATGTCTAGCGATAGATCCACGGATCTAAACGTTATGACACATATTTATATATTTTTAATTTTTTCACGTTTCTCCGCTTAAATTTTTTATCCATTGGTTAAATCAACATAGATATTTTTTATACTAAAAAATCTATAATGAAAAAAAGATTTTTCATATAAAGTTAGAATAAATCACATAAATGTCAAATATAACTTATATTGGATTTATGTTGAATAGCATTAGGATTAGTTATGTAGAATTTTGCTAGCTCAACACTCAATAAATCTTTAATAGTAAGGTTGCACTTTGTTTTGGCTTTTCCATTAGTAACAACTACTTATGTATCTTTCCGCATTTATTGAAATTGATAATAATTTTACATGTCATAAAATCAATTATAAATCATATCATTGTTATAATTTATAAAATTCTAACCAATATTATTATAAAATTATGTCATACAATTCATACTATATATTTTTTATCTAGTTGCTATTGTTGTTTTTATTGATACCACACAATATAATAATTTATTTTATTATAAAAAAATTCTTTATTTAACGTCAATTATTTTTAAATTGGATGCCTTACAAAAACTTCTTTATTTTATGCCTTTACACTTTTTATTTTAGATGCTTAATTTAATTTATGTAACACGATTTTTTTAATTCATCAATTTAAAATTTTAATATAAATTTTTATTTAATATTTTCAATAAAAAAATCACAAATTTTACTTACAAAGGTTCATCTAAAACCTCATTTAAAATGAATTGGTGTCATTATTTAATGTCTTTAAGCACTTTTTGATACAATTGCACTGTGCATTACCGTTTGGATCACGAAGGCATGATCTGATTACATTTACAAGGCTTCAATGGAATATTTAAACTCAATTGATGGAAAAAAAGGTGTGGTGGTGATTGACATTTTTGCTTTCTTTTTTCATTTTTTAATTAATAAATTATGAAATAATTTTTTAATTTAATGTAATGCAAAATTTTATCATATAATGAGCTTATAAATAAATAAAATTATTATTATATTATGAATTAAAAATGATTATTTTATAAATTTTATTATTATAAAAAAATTAATAACTAAATATAATATTATAAACTAAAAATAAAATTTAGTATTATATTATATTATATTATTATTTTAACTAAAAATAGATAACTAAATCATTAATAAAAGATTAAAGAAAAAAATCATTTGATATATTATTATTTTTATTAGTTTTTAACTATTTATCAATAAAATTATTATTTAATATAAAAATAATTTAATGAATTTTCAATTATTTATTAATTTTATAAATATTAAATATTTTAAAATTTTTATTGCATACAAATTTTAATTTAATATCCTTAATAATTATTTCTTTTCTAATTATAATTCAACTTTTACCATTTATTTGCATCGAACTAAATGTATTCACAATTGATTTTAATCTAGCAGATATAGTATGCAATTTCATTACTATTTTTAATCTCACCTAAATCAATTTTATTATCCATTTAAATTGATGCTAGATCATTCTCATTGCACTAAAAAAATCTAATTTTTTATTCCAATTTGATAAAAATCTAATTTTTTATTCCAATTTGATGCTAAATCATTCTCATTGCACCTAAATCTAATTTTATTCCAATTTGATAAAAAAAATCTAATTTTTTATTTGAATAAAAATACAATAGATATTAAAATTTTAAAAATTGAGACTGAAACGTGTATAATTTTAAAACTTCACTTATAAAGTTTTATTTAATTCATTTAAGTCTTTTCAATTGCACCACAATGTTCACAATTCTTGCGTATCTTTCTACTTATAATTTAATTGGTACCATGAACATATAAGAAATAGATGATGAAAAGATTTCTATAAGACTCCATATTTGATAAAAGATTTGCTTGAGCCAAATTAAATGAATAAAAATTTACACATATTTTAGAATTATTATTTTATAAGTTGACTTGACTGTTGATTTATGAACATTTATAGCATTGGTATCTTCATTTAATAATTGAATTATTATTTTATATAGATATAGTGTAGAGACCCATAGAGTTTTTAAAATTTTATTAATTTTAAAAAAATATTATTGATTATAAAATACCATGTTAATTTTTTTGATCTTTATAAAATTAAAAAAATTTACCAATAGATAATTTTTTAATTTGTGAATTTTCTCTATACATGTGACTTATTTTTTAATTATGACCTAATGATATGTAGGTAATTGTATAAATTTCATTTATCAAGTTTACAATTGATGATGTTATCATATAATTTTCATTTAAATTAATTATCATGAGATTTTTTTTAACCTCTACTTTTGATTAAAATAAGTGCTAGTTAACTAAACTAAAATTATCTTTTATTTACTTTATAAAATAAGAATAAAAATATCAATAACCAATATCTATGAGAAAATTTAAAATTTGATTCAATTAATTTATTCTATCACAATAAATTTGATATTTATTTATAATTTTTTTCATTAGATGTAGATGTTTCATAGTGACTGAAACACTCTAGTATTTTGCACAAATACCTGGCCATGCCAGGCTAGCCAATGTAATTTACAACAATTAACAAACAATGCTAATGATTAGGACTTAACCTGAGAATGTATGCCACGGTGGACTACTTGCTTACCTTTTGATTATCAACAACAATTTAATGGGTCATATTCCTCCAAGTTTGAAAAACTGCAAAAGTTTATACAGAGTTAGGCTTGAAGGAAACCACTTCACAGGAAATATATCAGAAGCTTTTGGTGTGTATCCGAATTTGTATTATATGGCATTAAGAAACAACAGATTTTATGGTGAACTTTCTCCAAAGTGGGGGCAATGCCATAATCTAACAAGGCCACAAATTTCCAATAACAACATTTTTGGAAAGACACCACCTGAGTTGAAATGTACAACTCAGTTAGAGGAACTCGATCTCCCTTCAAATATTCTTGTAGGTGAGATTTCCAAGGGATTGGGTGCAGTGACATTGATGTTCCGTCGTTTGCTAAGTGGTAACCAGCTTTCAAGCAAAATTCCACCCGAGATTGGAGTTCTTTCAAATCTACGGCATCTTAACTTGGCATCAAACAATTTAAGTGGGACGATTCCTTATCAACTTGGAGAGCGCTCAAAGTTATTGAATTTGAATTTGACAAAAACAAACTTGGAGAAAGCATTCCATTTTCAATAGCTTCATATATGGTCTTCAAATTCTAGATTTGAGTCATAATTTAATTATTGGAGCGATACCACAACAGCTTCGAAAATTACAAATCTTAGAAATATGGGATCTTTATCACAATATGCTTAACGGTTCTATCCCAATTTCTTTCAATGATTTGTAAAGCTTGATGGTTGTAAATATCTTTTACAATCAATTGGAAGGCCCGATTCTTAACATTAAGGCATTTCATGAGGCTTCAGTTGATACCTTATGTCATAACATCTAGATCCGGGGATCTATCGTTAGACATTAATTTAAGGAGTCACCACCAATCTTTTTTATCTAGGTGTGATTGGCCACCTAAGAAATCTATCTTTTTAAAGAACACCTAAACTTAAGGGTTCCCAAAAGAATAGGTTCAGGTCTACTAACCAGAATAGGGTTCAGGAGTTCGGTTACGTGTGAGGAAGGTTATAGCACTCTCACAACGCCCATCAAAAGATGGTGCCAGCTTAATTTTGTGTTATCTAATAAGCCTTAAAAATTTATCAAGTAATTAATTATTGGAAATTATTCTCAATTGACTCTAATACTTTTAGCAGAAAATTGAAAAAATTTTCTCACCTCAGGAGTATGCAAAGAAACTATTGTTTCACTTACAAAGGCTCCATTGTCGAATTATTTAATATTAAAAAAAATTCAAAAAGGAAAAAAAATAATAATAATGATTCAGCTTTAGATATAAATCCTTCTCTCCTTAAAATCTCATTGTTTTTGTATAAGGAAAATTGATGCTTTCAACTTTTCCTCAAACCTTTTTTAGAAAATTATTTTTAAAGAAAATTGATATTTTCAACTTTTCCTCGAAAATATTTTTTTGAAGACTTATTTAGAAGGAAAATTGATACTTTCAACTTTTCCTCAAAAATATTTTTTTTGAAGACTTATTTAAAGAAAATCAAAAAATAAAATAAGATAAAAATCAAAATAAAATAAAAATAAAATAAAATAAAATAAGAAATACTAAATAATTATAATCTAATCAATAAATAATAATAATAATAATAATAATAAATATATATATATAAAAAAAAACCTTTTGAACAGCTTTGCTCGAAAAATGGCTCGGCTCAAGATAGAAAGGGCGGCTCGAAGACGCGGCTTGGGGACGTCGGCTCGGTTCGGCTCCAGGGGTCGGCTAGCTCTCAAGTCACACGCAGATCAAATGCGGGTTGGCGTTCAGGTCGGGTTGCCCAATTTCAAAACGCATGGATCCTCTGAGAATAGTAACGCCAAAACGACTTTTTTTTAGCAAGTATAAAAGCCTTTAACCTCTATTTTTCAACAAATTGCTTCTTTCCCTCTCTCTTTTCTCCTCTTTTTCTCTTTTTCTCTCTCTAAACAATCCCAAATTTTGGTTGAATTTCTATCAGAATCTGGAAAAAGTCATCCGAATCTTCAAATCTAGTCGAAAAATTCAAAGTTCGCTGAAAAATTTCACCAGATTCTAGAAAATTTCCAGAAAAAAATGCCAAAAAATTTGAAAAAAAATTTCCACCAATTCCTAAAGCTATTCTAACGCACCAGAACCCTTTTTTAGCTTCTGTTTCCTCTCTGTGTGTGTTTTCTATTCATTTTCTGTGGATCTATTTATAGGGATTGATCAGAAGAGTTTTTGATCAATCCCAATTCCTTCTTGGATTGGGATTCAATCCTTGAATCCAATCTGGACTCTGATTGAATCCCAAATTTATGGTAGAATTCTAAATTTTTATCCTAATCCCAACCGAATAAGAAAAAAAAGAAAAAAAAAAGAAAAAAATAATATATTAATAGATAACTAAAAGAAAATAATTAGATAAATAATAATAATAATAATAGATAAATTATAATAAAAAACATATATATTAATAGATAAATAATAAAAAAAATATGTTAATAGATAAAAATAAATATATTAGTAGATAAATAATAAATATATTTAAAAAATAAATAAAATAAAAAAATACTAATAAAAATAAAAGCCAAAATGGGGCCTATTTTACTCATTTGGATTAGGCCCAATTGATTCGAGCCTGGATAAAATTGGGTGTCTACAGCTACCTTTCTTTGCACATTTTCTGTGAAACAAAAATTGCGCAAAGACATAGACACCCATTAAGACTCCACTCGACCTCTTTTCTTTTCTTTTGTCATTTTTTTGTGTTAAAATTTTGATCAAAGCTTCTCTAAGCAGAGGCTCAACGACTTTAAAAAGCATAAACAAAGCTCCTCTAATCAGAGGCTCAACGACTTTGGAAAATAAATAAAGTTCATCTAAACAGAGGTTCAACGACTTTGAAAAATAAACAAAGCTCCTCTAATCAGAGGTCAATGACTTTGAAAATAAATGGCTCCTCTAATAAGAGGCTTAACGAATTTGAAAGTAAATGGCTTCTCTAAATAGAGGCACCACAACTTTTGAAAGTAAATTGCTCCTCTAAATAGAGGTATCATAACCTTGGAAAGTAAATGGCTCTTTGACAATCATGTCCAAAGGAGTTAAAAATCGTGTTTGAAAGTATTTCAGGAGATTATGCCCAAAGGTTTTACAAATCAATCCTAATATCGAGAGATATCCTATTTCAAGGATTAGAAACTTACCTGACAAGCTTTTTCTCAAATTTGAAAATGTCTTCACATCTGTCTTTTCTATGTGGGATTTTGGAATACCCCTGCTTATTGAATTTATGCACTATATTTTCTTGAATGTAGTATATGCTATGCAATGCGTGTGAAATTCAATGCATGCAATGCAAATGTTGGCTAATTGATTCCTATTTAATTGTGGTACTCAAGTTTCTCAAGCTCTTTTCTTGGGCCTCAAACCCTTGATTCTTCAAAGACCAAGTTACGTTATTCTTCTAAGATCGAGCCAGTGTAACTCTAAATCATCTCTTCCATTTAATTCTCACATTTTTTCTGTAAGAAATCTCTTTCCAAATCCAATGTCCTTATCAGGAGTTGAACATCTCAAATCTGCCTTTATCACTCTTAACCTTTCCAATGTAATGTAAAAATCTTTCATGCCATTATTCATTTATCAATCATTATTTGAAACTCAAAAAGTAAGAATGCACTTACACATTTCTTCCATTGTAGGGTATTAAGAAGAAAAGAATAAGAATGGTTGAGAAACAGTCACTAGAATAGGCATATAAATAGTGAAATAGAATGTCTTTTATTAGCAAAATGTTGGCAAACTTTGGCCAAGAAAGAATTACAAGGATAAGTATGGGGAGACGAAGCCCAAAAATGAACAATCGAACAATCATGATAACACATCTCAAGGTTTTTCTGAAAACCCAACCATCTGACGCATTTAACAACTTAGAGCTCCTTCGAATTTGCTAGTCTTCATGCTAACGAATTTTTAAATTTAATGCTGTATTCTCCTTATCTAAGCTGTCTTTTCAAGTTTTCAACTTAGATAAACCCTCTATGACTCAAACTATCCTTTTAAGGTTTTCGCCTTGAGTCCTCCTTTTTCATTCACTTTTTCTTTTCTTTTTTTCTTTTTTCTTTTCATTTTTTTCATTTTTTTTTCATTTTTTTTCATTTTTTTATTTCATTTTTTCTCTTTTTCTTTTTCAAGCATAGTATTTCTTCACAGCATCAGAATTTATAGGATGGGTAAATCATTTTCATCCATCTTAGTCAGTATCAGTGCTCTACTTGAGAAAGCTCGTTTCACCACATATGGCTCTTCCCAATTCGGAGTCTATTTTTCTTATTATCGTGCTAGGTTGGGAGGATTCTCTTCAAGACCAACTCTCCTTTTCGAAAGCAATGGGGTTGAATCTTTTTGTCATGAGCCCTCATATTCTTCTTTGATATAGCTGACTATGGCACAATGTAGTCAATCTCTTTTCTTCTATGAAATTTAACTATTCATAATATTCTCTAAATCCATTCAGCTTCTTCTAATCCAACTTCTTTTAGAACCCTTAAGGATAAGATCTCCACTTCTACTGGTAGTATAGCTTTCATCCCATAAATAAAAAAAAATAGGGTTGGCCCAGTAGAGGTGCGCACTGACGTTCGATATGTATGCAGGGCAAATGGTAACTTCTCATGTCAATCTTTATAAGTCTCGATCATCTTCTCAATAATTTTTTTTTATATTCTTGTTGGCTGCCTCAACTGCCCTATTCATTTTCGGACAGTATGGAGTCGAGTTATGATGCTTGATCTTGTATTGAGCACATATTTCTTGCATCATCTTACTATTTAAATTCTTGGCATTATCTGAAATAATTCTCTCTGAAAGTTCATATTTACAGATGATCTCTCTTTTTATGAACTTGCAAATCACAAATCGTGTTACATTTGCATATGATGCTATCTCCACCTATTTTGTGAAGTAATTTATCATCACAAAAATAAATCTATGCCCATTAGAAGCCTTTAGGGTAATAAGACCAATGACATCCATGCCCCACATTGAGAATGGCCAAAGTGGTGCCATAACATGTAAAGCAGATGGCGGACCATGGATCTTATCAGCATATATTTGGCATTTATGACATTTACGAGCATAGTTAATGCAATCACTCTCTATTGTCAACCAGTAGTATCCTGCTCTCATGATCTGTCTCACCATCATATGTCCACTGGCATGTGCCCCACATATTTCATCATGCAACTCTTCAATGATTTTTCTTGCTTTAGCCTTACTTACGCATCTCAGTAATACTTGATCACGACTTCTTTTGTACAGAACATCCCCATCCAGAAAAAAGCTCATAGCTAATCATCGGATGACCCTTTTATCATTCTCTGTTGCTTGAATTGGGTATTGTTGATCTTTAATATACTGTAAAATATCATAATACCAGGGTTTGCCATCTTTTTATTCTTCTACATTGGAGCAATGAGCTGGCATATCCTTAACATCTAGCCTAATGGGCTGAATGTCAGTATTGTCACTAATTCGAATCATTACAGCCAGAGTAGCCAAGGCATCGACAATCAGATTCTCTTCTCGA